CTCTTCCAAAGGTTTCAGTTAACTCAACTCTCCTCAAGGACATGTAGCCTAGTGGATAAAGATGTTGGTTAGATCCAGTGACTAGACCCAAAGAGCTGTGAGTTCAATACCAGGCCACAACAGTGGTGAACCAAACTTGGAGAGTTGGGTTAAAGGGAAATAACTGAGATATTCGGAAGAGGCACGGCATGTAGAACTAGAACAAGCTGCCACAATAGATGAAATAAAGGGTTCAGTTCAGATTTCCATTCACCTGAAAATGACCGGATTATACAATGGCTGAAACATTGTGAATATGGCAATGAAGATGAGGATAACAGTTTGAATAATGTAAATAATGTAAGCAATAATACCTCATCTCAGAGATATAGACAAATATGAGTTTCCTTTCTTGAACTCATATGTGCCTCAAATGATTCTTGGATACTTCTATGTTAGCAGGGTTTTAATCAAACAAAATTTAATTTTATTGTTCTCTGAAATAAAATTTGATCAGTTTAAATGCATCTAAACATAAAAATAATGTTCAGCTCCATTAGACATTATAAAATACTCTTTAAATTTCGTTCATTTTAACAAAAAGTTAAAATTCGGACAGAACTTATGGGATGACCTGATATATTTAGGCAGTTCCTTTCTTAATATAGATATAAAGAATATATACAGTGCACAACTGTCAGTGCCTTTTTCCTTCTAATGGCAGTATTACCTTTACCATTAGATATGAGGAGAACAGATACTACATTTTGATCTCAACCCAATGTCAAGGGAAGAGGAAAAAAATATAACTCAAGTAGTACAAGGTACTCAGTCAATGAATGCCGAATGTTTTCCTAGAAAAAAACTGCTAATATCACCATTAGAATTGACAATAGATACTACACTTTCATCCCAGCTTGATGGCCAGGGAATGAAGAAAAACTTAATTTGAGTAGAATTGGTTATTCAGTCATTGAATGCAAGATTTTACCTTATAAAGAATCAGCTAATATCACCATCAGAATTGACAACAAATATTGTATTTTTGATCCAAACCTGATGGCCAGGAAATGAAGAAAAAACTATTTCTAGTAGCACTGGTTTCTCTGTCAGTGAATGCAAGATGTTACCTTATAAGGAAACAGCTAAGATTACCATAAAAATTAGCAATGAGGAGAACAAATTTTAATTCTAGCCTTATGGCCAGTGAATGAAGAAAGCTGTAACTTTAACAATATTCACTACTCAGTCGATGAATACCAAATGTTTACTTATAAGGAAACAGCTAATATTAGGAGAACAGATATTACACTTTGATTTTAATTTGAATAGCACTAGCTGTTCAATGAATGGATGCTGTGTTTCTACATAAATTTACAAAATATCTTGCCAAATATATAGAGGTTTTATTAAAATATTACAAAAGCTTTGGGTAGATTTGATAAATGTGAAACTACTCTAACACTATACAAATGAGATATATTTCAATGGTACCAAAGGATTTATTGGAGTCACTTGTTTTTGTGATGAAAAACGGTTAGCAGGGTACCATGCTGGATTGATGTGTCAAGATTTGACATCATGGTATTCTAGTAGCTGACAGGAGAGACTGAACAGTGCCTACCACTCATACTAAATTAAATAGTATAGTTACCAAGTATTAATTTCTAACTTGACTAAAAACTCTCTACTCTGGTGACATGTCAGTAAACAGAACATGATTAAAATTACTTGTGTTGGAAGCAGAGGAAACAAAGAAGAAACATTACATAAACATGAGGGAACTAGAACTCAGTTTGTTGATTCCATTTTCCCAGCTTGATAACCATCATGCCACCTCACATGACCAAAGTTCAATCAAAAAAAAAAAAAACTCAATTTTTACACATCTTCAACTTGATAGAATGTGATACAGTTTTTGACAAAATACAAATTATTTATCAGAGAATTTTCCATGCAAAAATATTTTTCTGTCCACAATTTCAATTATCAACATTAGGTTTATATATTAGTGATTTGTTTTTTACTAGCACACCTTGTTCCAGGAAAAAATAATTACCTTTTTACTTTTCAATTACTCTTCAGGTTTCTTTACAAATTCATTACCATTATTTGCAGGAGTCCTTCAAATAGAAGCTAATTAAAGGAATACAACACTTTGAGAGAGAGGAGGAGAGAGCAGATAGAGAGGAATAATAAGGAGGAAGGAGAGTACAGATAGAGAGGAATAATGAGGAGGAAGGAGAGGGAAGATAGAGAGGAATAATGAGGAGGAACGAGAGGGCAGAGAGAGAGGAATAATGAGGAGGAAGGAGAGGGCAGAGAGAGAGGAATAATGAGGAGGAAGGAGAGGGCAGATAGAGAGGAATAATGAGGAGTTAAAAGAGGGCAGATAGAGAGGAATAATGAGGAGGAAGGAGAGGGCAGATAGAGTGGAATAATAAGGAGGAAGGAGAGGGCAGATAGTGAGGAATAATGAGGAGGAAGGAGAGGGCAGATAGAGAGGAATAATGAGGAGGAAGGAGAGGTCAGATAGAGAGGAATAATGAGGAGGAAGGAGAGGGCAGATAGTGAGGAATAATGAGGAGGAAGGAGAGGGCAGATAGTGAGGAATAATGAGGAGGAAAGAGAGGGCAGATAGAGAGGAATAATGAGGAGGAAGGAGAGGGCAGATAGTGAGGAATAATGAGGAGGAAGGAGAGGGCAGATAGAGAGAAATAATGAGGAGGAAGGAGAGGGCAGATAGAGAGGAATAATGAGGAGGAAGGAGAGGGCAGATAGTGAGGAATAATAAGGAGGAAGGAGAGGGCAGATAGTGAGGAATAATAAGGAGGAAGGAGAGGGCAGATAGAGTGGAAAAATGAGGAGGAGAGAAGATAGAGAGGAATAATGAGGAGGAAAGAGAGGGCAGATAGAGAGGAATAATGAGGAGGAAGGAGAGGGCAGATAGTGAGGAATAATGAGGAGGAAGGAGAGGGAAGATAGAGAGGAATAATGAGGAGGAAAGAGAGGGAAGATAGAGAGGAATAATAAGGAGGAAGGAGAGGCCAGATATAGAGAAATAATGAGGAGGAAAGAGAGTGAAGATAGAGTGGAATAATAAGGAGGAAGGAGAGGGCAGATAGTGAGGAATAATGAGGAGGAAGGAGAGAGCAGATAGAGAGGAATAATGAGGAGGAAGGAGAGGGCAGATAGAGGAATAATGAGGAGGAAGGAGAGGGAAGATAGAGAGGAATAATGAGGAGGAAGGAGAGGGAAGATAGAGAGGAATAATAAGGAGGAAGGAGAGAGCAGAGAGGAATAATAAGGAGGAAGGAGAGGGCAGATAGAGAGGAATAATAAGGAGGAAGAAGAGGTAAGAGAGGAATAATAAGGAGGAAGGAGAGGGCAGATAGAGTGGAATAATGAGGAGGAAGGAGAGGGCAGATAGAGAGGAATAATGAAGAGGAAGGAGAGGCCAGATATAGAGGAATAATAAGGAGGAAGGAGAGGGCAGAGAGGAATAATAAGTAGGAAGGAGAGGGCAGATAGAGAGGAATAATTAGGTAGAAGGAGAGGGCAGAGAGGAATAATAAGGAGGAAGTAGAGGGCAGATAGAGTGGAATAATCAGGAGGAAGGAGAGGGCAGATAGAGTAGAATAATAAGGAGGAAGGAGAGGGCAGATAGTGAGGAATAATGAGGAGGAAGGAGAGGGCAGATAGAGTGGAATAATTAGGAGGAAGGAGAGGGCAGATAGAGTGGAATAATAAGGAGGAAGGAGAGGGCAGATAGAGTGGAATAATAAGGAGGAAGGAGAGGGAAGATAGTGAGGAATAATGAGGAGGAAGGAGAGGGCAGATAGAGTAGAATAATAAGGAGGAAGGAGAGGGCAGATAGAGTGGAATAATAAGGAGGAAGGAGAGGGCAGAGAGGAATAATAAGGAGGAAGGAGAGGGCAGATAGAGTAGAATAATAAGGAGGAAGGAGAGGGCAGATAGAGAGGAATAATAAGGAGGAAGGAGAGGGCAGAGTGGAATAATGAGGAGGAAGGAGAGGGCAGATAGAGTAGAATAATGAGGGGAGGAAGGAGAGGGCAGGGTGAGGAATAATGAGGGAGGAAGGAGAGGGGCAGATAGAGTGGAATAATAAGGAGGAGGAAGGAGAGGGCAGAGAGGAATAATAAGGAGGAAGGAGAGGGCCGATAGAGTGGAATAATGAGGAGGATGGAGAGGGCAGATAGAGTAGAATAATGAGGAGGAAGGAGAGGGCAGATAGTGAGGAATAATGAGGAGGAAGGAGAGGGCAGATAGAGTGGAATAATAAGGAGGAAGGAGAGGGCAGATAGAGTGGAATAATAAGGAGGAAGGAGAGGGCAGATAGAGTGGAAAAATAAGGAGGAAGGAGAGGGCAGATAGAGTGGAATAATAAGGAGGAAGGAGAGGGCAGATAGTGAGGAATAATGAGGAGGAAGGAGAGGGCAGATAGAGAGGAATAATGAGGAGGAAGGAGAGGGAAGATAGAGAGGAATAATAAGGAGGAAGGAGAGGCCAGATATAGAGGAATAATGAGGAGGAAAGAGAGGGCAGATAGAGAGGAATAATGAGGAGGAAGGAGAGGGAAGATAGAGAGGAATAATAAGGAGGAAGGAGAGGCCAGATATAGAGGAATAATGAGGAGGAAAGAGAGGGCAGATAGAGAGGAATAATGAGGAGGTAGGAGAGGGCAGATAGAGAGAAATAATAAGGAGGAAGGAGAGGGCCGATAGTGAGGAATAATAAGGAGGAAGGAGAGGGCAGATCGAGAGGAATAATAAGGAGGAAGGAGAGGGCAGATAGAGTGGAATAATAAGGAGGAAGGAGAGGGCAGATAGAGAGGAATAATAAGGAGGATGGAGAGGGCAGATAGAGAGGAATAATAAGGAGGAAGGAGAGGGCAGATAGAGTGGAATAATAAGGAGGAAGGAGAGTGCAGATAGAGTGGAATAATAAGGAGGAAGGAGAGGGCAGATAGAATGGAATAATAAGAAGGAATGAGAGGGAAGTTAGAGAGGAATAATAAAGAGGAAGGAGAGGGCAGATAGAGAGAAATAATAAGGAGGAAGGAGAGGGCAGATAGAGAGGTATAATAAGGAGGATGAAGAGGGCAGAGTGGAATAATAAGGAGGAAGGAGAGGGCAGATAGAGTGGAATAATGAGGAGGAAGGAGAGGGCAGATAGAGTAGAATAATGAGGAGGAAGGAGAGGGCAGATAGTGAGGAATAATGAGGAGGAAGGAGAGGGCAGATAAAGTGGAATAATAAGGAGGAAGGAGAGGGCAGATAGAGTGGAATAATGAGGAGGAAGGAGAGTGCAGGTAGAGTGGAATAATAAGGAGGAAGGAGAGGGCAGATAGAGAGGAATAATAAGGAGGAAGGAGAGTGCAGATAGAGTGGAATAATAAGGAGGAAGGAGAGGGCAGATAGAATGGAATAATAAGGAGGAAGGAGAGGGCAGATAGAGTGGAATAATAAGGAGGAAGGAGAGTGCAGATAGAGTGGAATAATAAGGAGGAAGGAGAGGGCAGATAGAATGGAATAATAAGAAGGAATGAGAGGGAAGTTAGAGAGGAATAATAAAGAGGAAGGAGAGGGCAGATAGAGAGAAATAATAAGGAGGAAGGAGAGGGCAGATAGAGAAGTATAATAAGGAGGAAGAAGAGGGCAGAGAGGAATAATAAGGTGGAAGGAGAGGTTAGATAGAGAGGAATAATAAGGAGGAAGGAGAGGGCAGATAGAGTGGAAAAATAAGGAGGAAGGAGAGGGCAGATAGAGAGGAATCATAAGGAGGAAGAAGAGAACAGATAGAGTGGAATAATAAGGAGGAAGGAGAGGGCAGATACAGTGGAATAATAAGAAGGAAGGAGAGGGCAGATAGAGAGGAATAATAAGGAGGAAGTAGAGGGCAGATAGAGCGGAATAATAAGGAGGAAGGAGAGGCCAGATAGAGTGGAATAATAAGGAGGAAGGAGAGGGCAGATCGAGAGGAATAATAAGGAGGAAGGAGAGGGCAGATAGAGTGGAATAATAAGGAGGAAGGAGAGGGCAGATAGAGAGGAATAATAAGGAGGAAGGAGAGGGCAGATAGAGAGGAATAATGAGGAGGAAGGAGAGGGCAGATAGAGTGGAATAATAAGGAGGAAGGAGAGGGCAGATCGAGAGGAATAATAAGGAGGAAGGAGAGGGCAGATACAGTGGAATAATAAGGAGGAAGGAGAGGGCAGATAGAGAGGAATAATAAGGAGGAAGTAGAGGGCAGATAGAGAGGAATAATAAGGAGGAAGGAGAGGGCAGATAGAGTGGAATAATAAGGAGGAAGGAGAGGGCAGATCGAGAGGAATAATAAGGAGGAAGGAGAGGGCAGATAGAGTGGAATAATAAGGAGGAAGGAGAGGGCAGATAGAGTGGAATAATCAGGAGGAAGGAGAGGGCAGATAGAGAGGAATAATAAGGAGGAAGGAGAGGTCAGATAGAGAGGAATAATAGGGAGGAAGGAGAGGGCAGATAGAGAGGAATAATGAGGAGGAAGGAGTGGGCAGGTAGAGAGGAATAATGAGGAGGAAGGAGAGGGCAGATAGAGTGGAATAATAAGGAGGATGGAGAGGGCAGATAGAGAGGAATAATAAGGAGGAAGGAGAGGGCAGATAGAGAGGAATAATAGGGAGGAAGTAGAGGCAGATAGAGAGGAATAATGAGGAGGAAGGAGTGGGCAGGTAGAGAGGAATAATGAGGAGGAAGGAGAGGGCAGATAGAGAGGAATAATAAGGAGGAAGGAGAGGGCAGATAGAGAGGAATAATAAGGAGGAAGGAGAGGGCAGATAGAGAGGAATAATAAGGAGGAAGGAGAGGGCAGATACAGTGGAATAATAAGGAGGAAGGAGAGGGCAGATAGAGTGGAATAATAAGGAGGAAGGAGAGGGCAGATACAGTGGAATAATAAGGAGGAAGGAGAGGGCAGATAGAGAGGAATAATAAGGAGGAAGTAGAGGGCAGATAGAGAGGAATAATAAGGAGGAAGGAGAGGCAGATAGAGGGAATAATAAGGAGGAAGGAGAGGGCAGATCGAGAGGAATAATAAGGAGGAAGGAGAGGGCAGATAGAGTGGAATAATAAGGAGGAAGGAGAGGGCAGATAGAGTGGAATAATAAGGAGGAAGGAGAGAGGGCAGATAGACAGGAATAATGAGGAGGAAGGAGAGGGCAGATAGAGAGGAATAATAGGGAGGAAGGAGAGGGCAGATAGAGAGGAATAATGAGGAGGAAGGAGTGGGCAGGTAGAGAGGAATAATGAGGAGGAAGGAGAGGGCAGATAGAGAGGAATAATAAGGAGGAAGGAGAGGGCAGATAGAGAGGAATAATAAGGAGGAAGGAGAGGGCAGATAGAGAGGAATAATAAGGAGGAAGTAGAGGGCAGATAGAGAGGAATAATAAGGAGGAAGGAGAGGGCAGATCGAGAGGAATAATAAGGAGGAAGGAGAGGGCAGATAGAGTGGAATAATAAGGAGGAAGGAGAGGGCAGATAGAGAGGAATAATAAGGAGGAAGGAGAGGGCAGATAGTGAGGAATAATAAGGAGGAAGGAGAGGGCAGATAGAGTGGAATAATAAGGAGGAAGGAGAGGCCTTATATAGAGGAATAATGAGGAGGTAGGAGAGGGCAGATAGAGTGGAATAATAAGGAGGAAGGAGAGGGCAGGTAAAAGAGAAAGAAAGTAGAAAATACAAAATGTGGACAGAGACAGAAAAAGCAAATATTTTTCCAAATCAAAGAAATGCATTGATTGGCAAATTTACAAACTTGTTTATGTCAATCAACAGAAATTCTGAAGCTTTCTGGCGTTGTTTTTATTTTATCTCACTCTTTCATTATGGATAAATCATTTCATGTGTGTCAATATTTACTTTTAGCTGCTTTTTATGCTGTAAAACTATTTAGCAAAGATCGTCAAATGATTTGGCGAAAAAAATAATCTTTTTGGTTTCAGGTTTCTTAATTTTTAGAGCAGGATCTAAAAGCAAAATGCCGTTATTGTTCATATCATTTCCCATCTTTGAGTTTATTCATTGTCTTAAATGTAAAAGAAAAGAACTAAAGATATGAATATTATTTGAGTTTAATTACATACACTTCCACCACACAGAGACATATACTGAATTGTATGCCTATATATACATATATGTATATATATTTTAAGGAGAACAACTATAACCTCTCCCATATATATATATATATATATATATATGCATGTTTCATTAAAAACGACAGACACGGTACTACGGTTGAGCTTTTTATTTAATTTTTCTTGTGTTCTGACAAGAGCTTTCTTTTCTGGACAAAGAGTGTGTAAGAACTGTCCGAATGTTCTGTGTTTCCGAGCGCTTTCGGCTATACCTTTAGCCATTATCAAGGATGATTCAATTATCAGCTTAGTAGAGTGTGTGGGTTCTGTGTATGTTCAGTGTGTGGTAGTGATGTTTTTAGTTTCCGAATACGGTTAGCACATTGTGGCTTTGTTCATAGTTAATATTGTTAAGAGTTGGCTTTTTCTTTTTTATTATTAAAGCTTCCATTATTTTTAGTATTTTTTTGCAAGTGGATGCAGTTAATATATTTGTGTTTTCTACTAGTATGTTCCTAATAGTGTCGGGTAAATCTGAGTGTGTGTTTAAATGTGTTCTGATGGAACTGTGATCAGATAGGTGTAATGTAAGACGTCTAGATAAACATGTGGTTGTGTAGCCGATGTAATTATTTATGAGTCTGGTTTGGTGATGAACGCAGTTCCTTAAAGGGCATTTGAACTCATAGATAATGTTCATTCTTTGTAATTTTGACTTAGTTGGTGTGTTGTTATTTTTGAGGATAAGGTTGGCCGTCTTAAATTTTTTATAATAGATAATAAGTTTGATTTTTTTATTCGGATCAATAGGAGTAGTATATTTCTTTATAATATGTCTTAATGTTATCAGCTAAAATGAAGATATCGTCTACGTAGTGAACATAGATTTTCGGTTTGTGGACCTGTGTAAATATAGTATTTTCTACGTAGGACATATAATAGTTGGAGAAGCATGGACCCAGTGGATTTCCCATACTAACACCATTAGTTTGAGTATAAATATTGCCATTATGGTCATAGAAGGGGACTTTGGTTGTGCATGCGTGTAGTAATTTTTTTTAGGATGGGTGGTTTGATGGATGGCGGAGGGATGAAATAAAAAAATAAATAAAAATCTCAACCGTAGTACCTTGTCTGTCGTTTTTAATGAAACATGCATAAAGGAAGGATTGCTGCCTAAATATACAAATATATTATATATATATATATATATATATATATATATATATATACACACACACACACATACTACTCGGATAATGCTATTATGCAAATCATTAAATAAAATGACAATTATAACTTAAGTATTCACTGGAGAGGAAATTGGTAATGTCAATTTTTTGAGGGTGTTGTTATTTTTGAGGATAAGGTTAGCTGTTTTAAAGTTTTTATAGTAGATAATTAATTTAATTTTTTGTTTGGGTCAATTGGGGTAGTGTATTTCTTTATGATATTTTTAAGTAAGATATTCGTCTTGTTTGAAGTTGATATGCATTTGAATTTTGTAGAAAATATTTATTCTTGACTGTGTGCTTACTATTTTTACTATTTACTTTGGAAAATCAGAATTACAATAAATGAACATTATTTATGAGTTCAAATGTCTCTTAAGGAACTGTGTCCCTCATCAAACTGAATTCATAAATAATTACATCAGTCATATGACTACATGCCTATCCAGATGACTTACATTACACCTACCTCTGACCACAGCTCCATCAGAACCCATTTAAAAGCATACACACACTTACCAGACTCCATCTGAAACATACTAGTAGAAAATAAAAACATGATAACCTCATCCACATGTAAAAAAAATGTTTAGAAATAATGGAAGCCTTAATAATAAAAAAGAAAAAGCCAACAGTCAATAATATTAACTACAAACATGGCCACAATGTGCTGTGTTCAAAAAATAAAACATCCCTATAATTCTAGAAACAGACACACAAACCATACACCCAATTGAAAAGCAAAAATAAGACAACCTTGATAATGGGTAAAAGTATAGCTAAAAGCGCTCAGAATTACAGAACATTTGGACAGTTTCTGATTACTCTGTGTCCAGAAAAGAAAACACTTATTCAAACACAAGAAAAATAAATTAAAAAGCTTAATCACAGTACCTTGTCTATCATCTTTAATGAAACATATATACATTTTTTTTTTGTGTATATATATATATATATATATATATATATATATATATATACATATATATATATATATATATTTATATTTTATATATATATATATATATATATATATATATATATACACACATAAATATATATAATAGCTGGGCACTTGTATTTGAGGATACCCATCTACTAGGGTGGCTAGGCAATCCTTATTGCAGACACCCGCCTTGGCACAATTGTGTTTGTTCAACACCCACAGAGCCCACCTGTGGTTTATACTGAAACTATGCTGAGAAGACCCTAGTTACAGTTTCTGGAAGAGAGCGTGTTATCTAGCATGATCAACAATCTGAACAAGGCCAACACATTCAAACCCTCAGTCATGATGACTTGTGACTTTGTACTAACACAGCCATTGATGGCTCCCCAGGGTTCCATCTACCTACTTTCACACACTAGGCTTGGGTCAACCAATGTAGTTGTCAGGCACTTTCCAAAGGTGCCACATGCTGAGATCACCTCCTTCAGGCCAATAACATTAGGCAGTCTCTTCCCTGACAAATCAACCATGATGAGATTTGAACCCAGGTCTCATGGTCAGAAAGCTAACCACTTCTAACCACTCAGCACAAATGTGTCCAAAAAGGAAAACACTTGCTCAACATAAGAAAAATTAAATAAAAAGATTAGTTGCAGTACCTTGTCTGTCATCTTTAATGAAACATGTATAAAATAGGGATTGCTGCCTAAATACACACACACACACCTATATATATATATATATATATATATATATATATATATATATATATATATATAGGAATTGATTCTCAATGAATAAAAAGTGAATGATGAAAACATTATCTTAATGCCATGTCACTTTAGGACATATGTGATTATTGCTCTCCATGATTTCTTTTTTTGTTTATTATTTGTTATTTGCTATACATATTTGAGAAATATGATAGAATGGTTTTCTCATTGCCTACTCCAAAGTTCAGATTTACCACTTAAGACTTGTTTACCCATAAGGGAGAAATTTACATAATTTGATTCATTTTAGTAGACAATCATAAAACTGATAACTTTACCAGCCATGAAAGATTTTCTGGTAAAACCTACTGAATTTATTTCATCATATTTTATTTTAATTTATGTAAACTGAAACATTCAATGAAACTGTCCAGCATCTGTGGAAATGAATGACAACAAATAAGAAATACACTTTTGCCTTGATTGTTCGTTTTGATTTTCTCTATTTTCTCCAATGCAATCTACGAATTTACTTTATGTTATGGTCCGGTTCCTTGTACCACGGTGATAGTCCAAGGTAGAACCAATAAAGGAGAACTTGAAGGCGGATATGGAATAATAGATATATTAGAAACAGGAATATATACAGAGAGGTAGAAATGTGTTAGTACGAACAATCAGGTTCAGTAGTAATTGTCTGAACACGACTCTGTTTCGGACTGCCTCTGACTCGACTGACTGACTCCTGATGGACTTCACTCCAGACTTCAGACTGAACTCCCTGACTTCAGACAGAACTCCAGACTTCAGACGGAACTCCCTGCTTCCTCTTGAGGTGCAGTATTTCTTACGTATGGAATAGTCCATTATGTTCTTATAGGTAAGGTTCCCTAACACTTTATTAAAAACTCTTTTCATAATATTACTCTTCTGACAAGTTTTTTTCTCTGTTGCCTCGACTACATTGACATCTAGTTCTCACCCTGTTATTACACCATACCTATGAACATTAATGGGTATGTCCCAATCCTCATAAATACATTAGACACTAATGTAAGTGGGGGGTAATATGGTGTCTTAGTAGTCCACCACTGGCAGTGGTTTACCTGCTTCACGCCGCTGGCAAGTATTGTATTTTGTTGATGTTATAAAGATTACCAGTTCATTTCCAATCTCCATTTTGGTTATTCCTCATTCGGTAATTTTTTCTAGACTGCAACACTTTTTTCTGTTATGGTCCAAGGTCCTTGTACCACGGTGATGGTCCAAGGTAGAACCAATAAAGAAGAACTCAAACACGGATATGGAATAACACAGATATATTACAAACAGGAATATATACAGAGAAGTAGAAAGTGTTCGTACGAACAATCAGGTTTAGTAGGGAGAACAGTGTAGTCTCGACCAGTATCACTATTCCAATGTCTTGTAGTAATTGACTGAACGCGACTCTGTTTCGGACTGCCTCTGACTCGCTCTGACTGACTGACAGACTCCTGACAGACTTCACTCCAGACTTCAGACTGAACTCCCTGCTCCCTCTTGAGGTGCAGTATTTATTACATATGGAATAGTCCATTATGTTATGGGTAAGGTCTCATAACACTTTCTTTCCTTATTTTTTCCTTTCTTTCTTCCCTTATTTCTTTCCATTATGTATTGTACCTATGAACATTAATGGATATGTCCTAATCCTCAAAAATACATTGGACACTATAGTAAGTGGGGGTAATATGCTGTCTAAGTAGTCCACCACTAGTAGTG